GTTTGGCAGTCTTTTTATCTAATAAGCACTTAAATAAGCATTTGTGACTATTTTGTCTATCATTTTCTTTCAAATTTTCAATATACCATTTGAAAGCACTTTTAACAAAGTACTTTTATTAAAACATTTTTACGAAAGCATTTTTACAAAAGTACTTTTATGAAAGCATTTTTACAAAAACGCGTTTATAAAAGTATTTTCACAAAAGTACTTTTATGAAAGCATTTTTACAAAAACACTTTTATAAAAGTATTTTCACTAAAGCACTTTTATGGAAATACTTTTATGAAAGTACTTTATAAAGTGCTTTCGTAAAAGTACTTCCGTAAAAATACTTTTAAAGTGTTTTTGTAAAAATACTTTCATAAAAGTACTTTCTTAAAAATGCTTTCGTAAAAGTACTTTTATAATAGTGCTTTTGTAAACTATTTTCATAAAAATGCTTTTGTAAAAATATTTTCATAAAAGTACTTTTATAGAATTCAACAAGGGATAATTTTGTAAGTGGTATTTTAAAATTCAAATAGGAATAATTTTGGAAGAAAAAATTGAACAAGTGCTTATTGTATAAGCCCTTATTTTTAAAATAAGCACTTATTTCAGGCTTATTTCTCAAGTAGCAATAAGTGCTTAATGGCCCAAATAAGCATTTATAAGCACACCCAAACATGGCCTTAAACCATTCTTGTGCAAATAAGATACCTTTATATTTAAATTTTCAACAGAATTGTTGCAAAGACTTATTTGCCCTCCATCATTTATTAAATTTTCAAAAAAAACCACCAAAAACTGTAATGGGAAATATTTCAGGATGACTAATGGCTCTAAAAATGAATGAGAGATATTTATTACTGCAAACAAATAATTCACCTCTTTCTTTTCATCAAAGCTCTATATTTGAGGCTTAAACAAGTGAAGTAACTCGAGTTTCAGAACTGTCTTCTATCTTCAGTTTTAAATTTCTAGGAACTCGTTGAGTYAAGATCTTGGTCAATTTTCTCATTGTTTTCTTAAATAAAATATAAGGAAGCTTACTGGACGAAATGCTCTACAAGAATACTCCTGCAAGGAGTATATGCTCTTCCATGGTGATTCATACAGATGGAGGATCAAATAGGAGGGCTTATGAAACAATGTGTTTACTGATAAATGCGCAAGTTAAATTGGCTATATCGTTTCCAACTTTAGCACACGCTTAAGGATACTGTTGAAAGATCTCATTAATGTTACCAAGGTTCAAAAGATCCATACAGCCCGATACACTAGTAGGGGAGTTTAAATCTTTATGGGGGTTCACTCCCTTATTTTTAGTTTTTTTTTATCTGATTTAGAGGGATCAGTTTAAGACCTATCTTATTTTTAGTTATTTTTTATCTGATTTAGAGGCATCAGTTTAAGACCTGTCTACCCTCTGAACCAGGTCAAGCCCAGAAACACCCCTTGCAAGACATATCGGGAAGCCCCCAATACAATATATAGGCTAATACGTATTGAAATTTTGAACCTTGAATGTTACAGATTTGTTTGATGCCACTATTATATCATCAGATGTTGGATATGAAAACCCAGATGCAGAGATCTTCAAAGCTACCTTAGATCATATCAATGTGGGGGCTCACAAAGTAGAGTATGTTAGAGATGATCAAAGGGCATATAAAGTGGGAGCCGATGAGATCAAATGTAAAAACATTAGCAGAGATACAAGACCACATTCTCATATAAAATTCATAATTCCAAGGAACTAAGGGCCCATTATTCTTCAAGATGAGATGAAGCTTGTCTCAGAAATGGCCTATTAGAATCTCACAAAGCATCTAAGGAAGTACCTCAAGTTACAAATGGAACCTTATAGCATAGATTGTTTTCGGTTTCTAGGCAGGGCAATAAAGGGCAAAATTGGGTTTTAAAAAGTTTAACCGCCACATGGTGACATGTATAACGGATCTGGATAGTGCTAACGAAGGGGAAATTATTGTTTGATCACATCACCACATAAGAGTCCTAGTCGAATTTGAAAAGGGGATGTTTTAGTATTTTAGATGAAATCATGAAACCTCAATAAGGTTCAAGTCGTTTACGCTAAAAATAAACGAAGAAATTGGATGGCCATTTAACCCAAATTTTTCTGTTTGTTTGTTACATGCCGGATGGAGTGAAAGTTTCACCTCCTCTCTCGTCATGGTCAAGCTCAGTAGCTCACCAAATCTTCAATGGATAGCTTAGTACTTTTACCTTCATCATCAACACTCGTCAAACCCATTAACGGCTGGGACAAGTTGATAGAATAACAAGGTAAAATATTTATATATCGAAATTTCAAACAATGCAAAAGATTCATGACACAGTTAGGCTTCAAGAAAAAAACAGTGCAAGACAGTGAATGTTGCAAATCCTCCTGTGCACGGTAACAGAAAGGAGGACGAAGTTTGAAATTTCCAGCATGTTTGGAGAGGCATCCTACACTGTCATCAAGGATGGAATGCCTTGATCAAATGAAACAAAAGCTCATTGCAAGGGATAAGATCATTTTTCTATAAAAGAGGTATAAAAGAGGGCGGAGAATGGTGAACTTTATAAAAGAGGTATTGGTAGTTAACCTGAATCTATTCCCCTCAAGTGGATGGAGTCATAGAATCCAACTGTTTGGATTTAAAAATAGCGCCTTGCGCCTCACCCCAAGGGGGATTGTCCGTCATCTACTCATCTTGAGGGAGGATGAAAACAATCAAATGATGCGGGAGGGGGCAGTGAACGGAGAAAAGAAAGCAAATCAGATACAGGGGTATCAGTGCCGCAGGTAAAAAGAAAGGAACGCAACTTTCCCTACCAAAGTTAAGTGTTGAGTGTTAATGCCCACTAACAGTATACGATTTCAAAAATAATTCGATACTACTACTGTCTCTACTAAGAAAACCACCAAAACTACATTCCTCGTTTGACAAATCAACTCCAACAAAATGTAAAAATAGCGCTCGAAAGTAGAAACAACACCTATTCAAACAATTGCATTGGCAGCGCTTGCAATCCTTGGCCACAAGTCCGCACACTCCTTTCCAATTGGTCCAGTGATAGCAGACCCTGCACGCACCAGTTCAAGAACAATTAGGAAATGTTCATTACACCATCCGTTTATCAACCTACTGAAATAACAATCTGTAGCCAGTCCAATATTGGAACTTGGATGGCATGAACTTAACAATGCAAGTAAGAAGTTTGGGATTATAATGTGATTAAGGCATTACCCACCTTTCATTTCTCCTTTGGGATTCACAATCACCCCAGCATTATCTGCAAAATACAAGTACAAAGCTCAGAAACTTTTGGAACAATGCCCAGGACATTTTGATCAAATAGAGGAAATCAAAATGTAGATGGCAATGAATATAGCCAACAAACTTTCAAAAAAATCTAGAAACAATCAGGGTGATAGATTCGGTTCATGACAATTTTAATATTACGTTAACATATCCAACTTAATTCTTTTTCCTGCCTACCACCATGACAATTCTCGAATAATATGATAATAATAGTTCCTGAATTGATGCACGAGGAAAGAAAACAAAAATACGAAATCATCTTAACTTGTTGGAATGCAACAACAATTATAACCTGAAGTAATCATGGGTATCCCAATCTGTTTAAATAAGAGAGGCGTACTTATCAAAAATAAACAAGAGAAGAAATCCTTTTTATATATTTTTGTAAGTGGGCAACTGCCACTCGTCCCATTTTGTATTATTAATACAGATTTGTCTTGTCCATAGATCTTAATATGATCATTGGTCATATGTAATCATCATCTAATCTTGAAAATCAAGTAATAAACAAAAAATACTTTATCAATACTTGGAGGAGAATAAGTAAAACTTTCTTTCTCTGGAAATCATGTGTATGACCATCTTTACCCTATAGATTAGAGAAGAAAATGTTTCAATTGCTTGTTTAATTGTTATGAGACAAGCATGTAAAGCTCTGCGATTAATGTAATACTATCTCATAAGCAATAGTTGTTCCACCTAAGAAGATCACAAGGTAGAGAATTAACTTTTTTTCCTTTGTTTAATAAAAACATGTATCAATCCATGTGTTGGTGAGAAGAAAAACCTTAGGAAACGTCATCAAAACAAATCAAGTGTCAAAGTCAAAATTACTGACAACCTAAACCTGATATTGGAATTAGCACTAATAACAATAGGTTGATTACTTTGTTTTAACAATGCAATTATCAAACTAAGCCAATCTACAATCTTTTCTTCATAAGTAACAAATACCAACCATACTCAGAAAGCATTCCAAAAATGAAAACATCAATCCCATTACTTCGAATATATATTCCAATACAATTGCAAAGAACAAAACAATACAACATGATAAACAGAAGCAAGTAGATAGAAATAAAAATATATAACCTTCGAAGTACATGTAGACACCATCCTTTCGGCGCCATGGCTTCCTCTGACGAACAATAACGGCAGGCATGACCTTCTTCCTGAGATCGGGTTTCCCTTTCTTCACGGTGGCCATCACCATGTCACCAACGCAAGCCGACGGCAACCGGTTGAGGCGACCCTTGATCCCCTTCACGGAGATGATGTACAGGTTCTTGGCACCTGTGTTATCGGCACAGTTCACCGTTGCCGCCACCGGTAGACCGAGCGACATCCGGAACTTGTTGCCGGCCGTTCCTCCACGTCCTGCAATCAAAACAAGAACACCTCGTCAATCTTCACCGCGGCAGAAATCGTGAACCACAAACGCTAAGCCCAAATCCAGAGAACAGACGGGCACAAACCTCGCTTCGACATTTTGGATCACCTCGATAAGAAGCTATTCCTCCTTCAGCAATCAGCAGAGCCGCAGGGGTTTTGCCATTTTATAGGCAGTAAGAGAAGTAGGGTTTCTGCGGGTTCTTTCTACCTTAATTACTTAAAACTGCCCATCTTCACTTTATAATGCCATAAAAGTCCTCTTCTATTAGTTTATCAAAACGCACGTGCCAGCCCTTGTTACACGTGCGAATGAAAACTCTCTCACAGTTGGATGTCCCTGGACCCTGGCTGGAGTTCGATGATTTCATTTCTTTGAATGGATTAGGGTTTAATCGTTTGGGGTTTATGCCTATTCTAAAATCTAGTCATGCATCATGAAAGAAGAAGAAGAGAGACCTCTCTGATACTCTTTTCACTGATACGAGAGAGCATTCTCGGAGAATTTCTGTCTCGATTCTTACAATTTGAATACCCTTCCTCTACTTGCTGTTCGAACTCTTAACAACTCGTTTCTTCTTCGTCAGAACCAACTTCAGATTCATCGAAAGGAAACCCGAATTTCCTACACTCGCTTTGGTGTGCAACGTGGTGCACTGAATTGGCTACCTAATTCAATAGATGGTAAACTAATCCCTTGGCTCATAGTCCTCGAGAGTCCCCCGCCTTTCCTCAACAACAACTGTTTTCCATGATCAAAGAAGAGCAAAGAAGCAAGACCAAGGATGAAATTATTGCAATCTTTAGGATTCAATGTTGATGAAACAGAAGAGGTATTTTTCTCATAATCATTATTACCAGAAAAACTCTAGTCATGAGTATACACCATTAACAAATGATTTGTAGGAATACTATTCTTCAGCCAAGGGGATGGAATTCAATTAAATTTCTWTTCRTGATATTTCTTGGTGTTCAAATACGTTTACAATATAGAACCCAGAAGACATTTTTCTCATAACCATTATTACCAGGAAAAAGGCGCCTGAAATTTTATAAATCCAACTCATTTAAGGAATCATATAGAATCTAATTCACATGAGCACATGTGTGGTTTAGATGTGGTTTCCATCTACCTGTTCTAGCTCATTGCTTAACTCGGTGCAAAGTGCATCTTGATGTTGTAGAATACTCTTGTTGTAGCTTCACTCCTAAAAAATAAGGATCCAAGAAGAAGAAGAAGAAGAAATTTGAAAAAGTAAAAGATTGAAAATGGATTCCACCCTTGATTGAAACTTGAAGAAGAAAAAGAAGCCACACTGATGAAATCAAACAATTTTATTGAAAATGGCTTCCACCCTTGATTGAAATTTGAAGGAGAAAAAGAAATCTAGAAATCCCTTGTTAACGGTGCCCAAAGAAGAATAACAAACAGTAAAGAAAAAACCCCTTTTCTTGCAAAACGATTTCTACCCCTTTACTTAAGAACGATCTATTCCTGTAAATCTCTTGCTAATGGAGTCTAGCCATCTAGGGTTTGGCAAGCAAGCCATTGGTTTGAATTCCCCATTTGTTTTGTTTAGCCTCTCTTGTCTATCAGATTACACAGTCAAATTTCCTTTTTTTTCACCTTTTTATTTTTTAAGTTTCAAAAAATGAAATTTATAGACAAAATGCCCCAAACTTTCGACGTGTTTGAATATGACTACAAGTGCACCACATCCTACACCAAAGTGAGTTGGGTTCCCAAGGAAGCAATAATCAAGGCTATGGCGAGTCTCGCTGCTGATAAATCGGGCTGTGATTGCGCTTTTGAGTTTTAGTGAAAACCATGGGAAAATACAATATTTGTCCGAGACTGAGGTCTGTGGTCCTCAATTATTTGTTTGTCGTCAATACTCGGATGCCGGGAAGGCGTATGCTGTTGAACAGCACATGATTTAATTATTTAAATGTGGATTCAGTCCGATGAACTCGAGCTGTCTGCGCTCTTGAAGGTGAGTTCTGAAGCTAGGAGGAACGAGAAAAGTTTGTTTTGTAGTAATTGGCTTGTGAGGTCGGTACATCGAATTGGGATGTGGAACGTGTTAAAGAGATAATGTCTAAGAATGATAGCGGCTCTTAGAACTGTCACTCTTGCGGTGGGCAACTGGTTTGTGTCGATATTTATGAACCAAAGATTGAAAATTAGCAATGGAAAGAGAAATAAGGTCAAATTTCAGAGGTTTTCAGGTGCACATTTCTTTCTTGTTTTTGCTTTCTGTTTGTGTTTTTCCATGTCTCTGATTCTTGACATTTACGCGTGTCCTTTGATCTCAAAACACTGACTTTACTGATTTTTTTAATGATTATGCCCTTTAAGAGTAATGACTATAAATTCATCATTCAAATCAAATTACTAATTAAGGAATTGTTCTATCACGATGAAGCAATTGAACTACTATTACGTTTTGTTATTTTTTTAAATAGATTAATTTCATTTTTTTTATCAATATTATAAGATGGATGCAGGATTAACTAACATTACATTTTGTTATTTTTTTAGTCGTAATTGCAAATCTACTGCCAAGACTTATCAGACACACTATGTTCTCATAAATTACACCTTTAGTATGAATCCAAACTCCAACCACAGTGCATTTTGAATATGTGCTACACGTTAAATTAAAATTTCAACCAATCACATTAATTTCTAATTTGTTCAACCAATCACATTAAAGACGTCACCATGGTCACATCTAATATTTGCTACTGAGTTCTCCTACTACTTAACTTATTTGTTCAACTTACCAGTAAGGTTCTCCTATACCCACTGTACTAATTGGAAGTCAACTGCATGAGAATATTAAACATTCCCTAGTTGTAAGATGATACCTCCAGAAGTCTATATGGCTTGCTGAAACTGTTTCAGAAAGGAACATGTGTGTTCACTTAATGATATAATAAATTGAGCAAATTTTGGACTTTACCAACAAAATTTTGCAGATGGTAGATTTAAGCCTTCCTCAGGTTGGAACACCTTAAACTCCGCCAGTGTGAGTTTGTCTTACACTGCCAGTCCCAAACCCAGATAAGAGAGGAGGGTTCAAATTGGCAGTCAGCATTAAACTTTTAACAAACTCCTATTGTGATTGACCTGCATTGTCTTTTCATGCTCATGCTAGTGCATTTCCAGAACTGATGTGTAAACATATATTGATAAAAAATGTGTTAAACATAGATGGCACTAAACAGAATGGAATAGTGAAAGTATGTGTTGCATAAAAATAATTATCTTTGACTTGATTATTGTTTTTCCACAAGTCCAGAACTTCATTCCCATTTTTCTCTGCTGCAAGTTCTTGTATTCTCTTTTCATCATTTCGTCCTATTGTAGTGGTGGATGGTATTCCATATGGTATGGTTATATCTTTTTTCTATCATTAAATGATAATTGCACTATTGAAGGTATGAGAAATATACTAGGTATGTGAAATTTTCTATTTCTCTTCATTTTAATAGATTTAGCCAATTGCTGCTCTCCCCACAGCTCCTAATAAGCTAATTAGCTAAAGTAAATGAAACCCAATCATGTTTTTTGTTTTAAGGATACAATTGGAGATAGCTTGATCTCAAATCTCAATAACCCAAGTTCTTTTAGATCTCCAAACTAATTTTTCATCCCTGCCCTATGTTTTCAGGAATCAGAAAAAGGATCATGGCATGTGCCCATTGAAGGTGAATGCGGAGATGAATCATTAAGGACTTGACTTTGTTTCAGCAGGTYCAGATTTTGTGAATGTTCTGGTGAAAGGTTGATGAACTTGGAGCTTGATCAGCCACAAGATTCTAACAACAGGACATCAAAGATGAATTTTAAAAAAAATGTTATAACCATCAATTGTTTACAAAGTGTGCCAACATCATTTCAGCCATCAAATGATAAAACCATGGCCACTACAGGTAAACAAACAGTGAGACCACCTCCAGAAATAAGCCCCTAACCTTGCAGTATGGCCTTCCCATGTTTTTCTTGGTCTGCTAGTTGATTTACCTTCCATGAGTAGGGACCATCCATAGTAAAATGGTAGGGATGGAATTCTTTTTTGGCTTACAGAGGATATTCTCCCAAGCTGCTCTTTCTATGATGGTGCCTGTGAGCTTAATTTGACAAGCAATTGCAGATGCTTTGGCAAAGGATGATTTTCCAATTAACCAACCAATATGCTTGGCACGGAATGCATATGGTAGGTTGGATGAATACTAGATTTCGGATGCGAACACCAGATGAAAGTAAACAGGTTGCAGTAATATGGGGCAATTTTCAACGTTGAGTAATTCCACTGTTAAATTATCAAATAGAAGTTTACCAGAAACATGGACGGGAAAAGAAAAGAGCCTGATCAAGGTGTATTGATTCCATTGTAAACAGGAGGGTGTGGGCGGGATGTGAGGTAGGGTTTGAAGCTTGAACCCTTTGTGTGCTCAATATGAAGGATGCCACTGGGATTGAACTTGGGCCATCTTTGCAACCCTAGAGATTGTGAATTACTTGAGTTAAAAGTAACGAATCTTGATGTTGATAACTTGATGGGCTAGTGAGCGAGTGGTAGGGGACCCAGAACAAAAGCAACAGAAATGCCAATCCAAGCACCACCTTAGCTATGCTGTAAAGATAATGGGCATTTGGGAGTGCAAAAATAACTAATAAGAATTATGATCATCTATTATGCTCCATAAGTAGAAAAAAGATGATACATATATCCATGTAAAAATAATGCTACTCATTTGCAATTTTTTTCATCATTCCTAGAGATGCAGAGATAAAAACTAATCAGATAAGCTGGTTGTAAATTGTAATCCGCAAGGAAACCATCATCAAAGTGGTAGATATTCAAACGAATTGACTGATACATCTAATGAAAAAAGAGAAAGGAATTGGTAAATCATGGAACACATGGGGAGTGACAATCATCAAGAAAGCCATCATCAAAGTTCTGAGAATAGCTGTGAATATCATAGCTGAACCGCGAGCCTTCCCTTCGCCATCTCTTTGCTTGCTTCCATTGTGACTTGAACCAGCAAACTAATTGCCTCGATACATCTGATTCATGCCACCAATCCAGTGATGCCCTTCTTCGAGCAGCTACAAGAATAACCACGGAAATTTTAGCAACTATTCTCTTTCCACACCTCATAATTTGAGTTCTCTTCATGCTTCCTATACTGGAGTGGATACCCTTATCAGTAGCTCCTCCCTCAGCTGAGTTTGTGACATTTCCGCGAACATTGTTTATATTGCTTCGCAATGACAATGGCCAATGAGACGTCATATTCAGGCATCACTATCACATAAGAGGTACCACACCTGTTACAGGCTGTCAGTCTCCCATTGGCTGGAAGTGAGAAGAGAATGTACTACACCCCATGCAATTTGTTTCATTGTTTGGCTTCCAGTCTCGGTGTTTCACGTTGGTGAGTGGATAAAAGATGACTTGTCCTAGTTAAGTAACATCGACGGTGATTGGAAAGAAACTTTAAATTTCGATTGGCTATCAAAAAGTTACCAATATTAATCTTAGTGACCGTCCAACTTTTGTAGATGCTTGAAGAAAATTCTCCACGCGGAAGTATAAGAAAGACAAAAGTAGGACGAAACTCTCCCGCAGACCACAGTCCAGAGTTGCTTGGTGGATCATGACTTAATGCCTGCATCATACATAGCTTGTGAGTATGGAGGTGTTCTCTTGGAGAGGTGCTGTATGTAACATTTGGCTGTTGACCTTGAGAAACTTTGCAAAATGATTATTGCAGTGTCGTTCCTCAGATATAGTTAGTAATGCTACTTAGAAGAGAGAAAGAGACTAAAGATAGATATCATGGAAAGTAAAATAATTAGACATCAACTCACTGGCGAAGGTTGCATAGGAATTTGAGAAAGGTCAATACGATGCTCCAAAACCCCCTCCTCCCCAGTCCCCACCCCAAATAAATAAAGAAATAACAACCATATATCAAGTCAACATGATGAGTTAATATTTAGCATATACAAAGGGAAACATTACTGGCCAGAATTGAGGAACAAAATGTCAATAAATGTTTTAATAATGGATCATAGAACCTTTAAATAAAAAGCAAAAACACCTAGACTTCTCACATAGGACATGCTGGGAATCTAAACAGTTGATCATTACAAGAGTGAAACATTAGATGTGAACCACGAATGTGAAACACGTGAAGACACCAAATCCTTTCAGCAAGTTCACCTGGAAATACACAAGTTGGCAAATGCAAGTTAGCATTTTTTATCAATAACAGAATTTCATTAAAATTAATAAACAGTTACAAGAATAGGCGAGCTAAACTTCTTAACTCTACATATAGAGATTATCTATTACAATTGAGCCCAAAACAATTGACTCCTTCCCACCCCTTGCCTTGCCAGTACATCAGCAAACCCATTTGCAATTTTTTTCTTTACCCAATTAAATTTCACTTCCATATTTTGTGCCAACCACTTAAACCTTTTCTTTTCATTATTAAAAACCCAAAATCCTTGTCCTTCCTTTTGCAGCCACTCCAGTACCAGCTTAAAATCGTCTTCTATAAGCAGCTTCCTTAAATTCATGTCCTTTGCCTTTTGCAGTCCCTCCATGACAGCTAGCACCTCGACCCTTAAAGAATCACCTACTCCAATTAGAACCGAGAAAAGGTCAACAATTCTGCCTTCCCCATCTCTAAAAACCCCTCCAATACCAGAGGGGCCTGGATTACCTGCACTGCTTCCATCAAAGTTTAATTTTATATAAACCCRTTCAACGATGGAGACCAAATAGGGCTTGTAGTGAACTTATGGTACTCGGAATTGGCCACTTCCTCACTAGACCAACTATTCAGGAGATCACTAGTTGAACAAGCATCAAACATCTCCAAAGATTTTACCCAATGTATCACTCTCACCATGAATGTTTCTTTGACAGCCTCACTAGTCCTTACCGGAAAATAGTCTTGCATTCCTTTCTTCCCAAATGGACCAGCTAACGGCCGCCCTCACACATCTCCATAACATTCTTCCTCTTTTCATTGGCCACCTAAAGAAGTTAGAAGCAAACAAGATTTGCACATTCGTCGGAGGACACCACCTACACCCAAACAATGAGAAAAACCAATCCCAAATAGAAGATGCAAACGGGCAGGAGATTAATAAATGAAAGCAGGATTCTCCATTAGCCTTACACATAACACAGCACTGAGGGGATAAACACCAATTTGTTCTTTTCCTTTGGATTAAATCGCAGGTATTGATTCTTTCCAGAAAGGTTTCCCAACAAAAACCCCCAACTCTTGGAGGGATGGGCTTACCCCATGCCTCCTTAACGGGAAAAGGTGGCCCCAAAGAGTCAGCATTTTGTGTTAAAGCTCCAAAAAAGGAGGCACGTGAGTAGACACCTGAAGGGGAAGGGGTCCAAATTCGGCTATCAGGTTTTGAGAAGTTAAAGTATACCCCATCAAGGATATTAATCAGATCCAAAATAGCATTCAATTCGGAATCCCTCACCCCACCCCCTTCTCAACCCTAGATCCCATTCAACACCCCTCAGCAAGTTTGAAGGAAGCATGAAAGAAAACACAGGCTTATCTTTATATCTTGACATATCAAAAACAGAAAGGAATTTGTCTTTCAAAGAGGGGTTACCCACCCACACCTGTTCCTAAAATATTATGAGATTTCCAGAATATAGGTCACATACCTGACAAAAGGTAAAGAAGGACAGGAGGATAGAATGGATGGCCTTCCAAGGGGAAGCTCTAGTAGCCGCAGTCAGTAATCCAGCATCCCAACCATCAGCTGCAAGCCCATGTATCCCTACCACTATTTTAGCCCAAAGCTTCTCTTTTGGTAGTCTCCAAAGCCACTTACCTAATAAAGCCCCGTTCCTCTTCTACAAATTGCCTAAACCTAAGCTTACAAACCTCTTGCTTCTACTCACCAATTTCCAGCACACCCTATGATCCTTTTTATTCTCCCCTGGTTCCCACAAAAAATCCCTCATCAGTTTTTCCAATGTCCTAATATTCACCGGCATCTTGAAAACAGACATGAAATACAAGAGCAGATTAGCCAATGTGGCCCTTATTAATGTAATCCTTCCCCCTAAAGACAGATAATTCTTCTTCCAAGCAACAAGCCTCTTAGCTAATCCTTCCACCACCGGATCCCAAAAACAACTCCTTTTTGAATTGTCTCCCAAGGGTAGTCCCACATATCTCATAGGCCATTGTGACACTTCACGGCCCAAAATGCTAGCATGCTCCATCATTTCCCCTTTTTCCATATTAACACCTACTATGCAACTTTTGTCAAAGTTCACCTTCAAATTGGAGATAAACTTAAACAACTGGATTGTCAACTTAAGGTTTCTGACCCAATCTCTATTTCCTCCTTCACAAAATAACGAGTTATCGTCTGCAAATTGCAAGTGTGTAATTGGAACTCTACCACGTCCAACCTTCCAACCCCTCACTAGTTCTTGAGAAAAGAGAAAAGAGAAATTAGAGTAAAGAAAAAAGGAGAAAGAGGGCCTCCTTGCCTAACTCCCCTTAGGGCCAGAAAGAAATCCACTATTGTTCCATTAATTAGCAAGGAGTAATGGCATGTCCTTACACACCCTCAGATGTGATTCAGTCCAATAAAAGAGCAGTAAAATATTTCAGATTATAGGAGAAAAGAAGAAGAAGGGAGAAAGGAGGAGTTCGATAATCTCCTCTCACCCTTCACTAATTATTTTATTAATCTTCATTAACTAGGTTAATTACAAGTCTGCCCTTAAGTGGGTGGCCAACTAAGCAAGAACTTTAAAAGAACTTATAAAAGAGGTTAACAGGCCCATTAACATACAAAATAAATAGCATACTACTTAAACATAAAAACAAATGCTAGGGCCGATTTGGCCCAGTCTCTCTACACTCCCCCTCAAGCTAAGCATAGATGTCAATCATGCCCAACTTGCTTATATAGTGTGACAACTTCCCTTTTGGAACACCTTTGGTCAAAACATCCACCAACTGCTCTTCTGAAGAGATAAATGGCAAACAAACTTCCCATGAAGCAACTCTCTCCTGTATAAAATGTCTATCAACCTCTATGTGCTTAGTTTTGTCATGTTGAACAGGATTATATGCAATGTTGATAGCTGCTTAATTGTCACAGTATAGCATCATTAACTTTTCATAGTCAACACCCAACTCTTCCAAAAGTGATCTCAGCCGCAATAATTCTAACACTTGCCATTGCCCTGTACTCTGCTTCAGCTGAGAATCTAGCTACTACAGACTGTTTCTTACTCCTCCATGAAACAATGTTCCTTGCCACCAAAGCACAATATCCTGAGGTGGATCTCCTATCATCAATACATCCGGCCCAATCAGCATCAGACCATCAGTGTATGCCTCCAACTTTGTGTGTCCATGCTTGGCAGTTGGCAAACAAAATACCTTTCCATGGAGTGCCTTTCAAGTAACACAAAACTTTCTAATAGCAACCAAATGTGTATCTCTGGGAGAATGCATAAACTGGCTAATAACACTCATTGCATAGGAAATATCTGGCCGAGTCATGCAGAGATAATAACAACTTTCCTAACAGTCTCTGAAACACTCCCCTACCAGACAACAATTCACCATCAGTAGAAGAGAACTTATTATTGAGGTCTATAGGGGTGGAAGCCGGTTTAGCACCAAGTTTACCAGTCTCTGCAAGGAGGTCAAGAACATACTTGTGTTGAGAAATGAAGATACCATCCTTAGATTAAGCAACTTCAATTCCTAAGAAATATCTGAGATCCCCCAAATCCTTGATCTCAAATTCAGAGTTAAGAAATCTTTTGAGCCTAATCACTTCCTGGGTGTCTTTACTCGTAACCACAATGTCATCAACATAAACAATCAAAAAAGTTACCAAGGAGTTACTTCTTTTCAAAAACAAAGTATGGTCAGATTGAGTTTGTGTATAACCAAGAGACAAGGGCAGCTCTGAATCTCTTAAATCATGCTCGGGGAGACTATTTGAGAAGATAAATGGATTTCTGCACTTTACACACCCTCCCTTGCATTTCCTTTCCATACACCCCTGGAGGCAAAAACATATAGATCTCTTCATGTAGGTCTCCATTCAAACAAGCATTTTTAACATCAAACTGGTGGAGAGGCCAATCAAAAGTAGCAGCTAGAGACAACAAAACTCGAACTGAAGTCATCTTAGCCACAAGAGCAAAAGTCTCAAGGTAATCAATACCATACATCTGAGTGTAGCCTTTAGCAACCAATCTAGCCTTTAGCAACACTCATTTATAGCTCACTGATTCCTTCCCTTTAGGCAAATCCACAATATCCCAGGCATGGTTCTTATGCAAAGCATCTAGTTCAGTCATCATAGCATCCCTCCATTCAGGTTTGGATAGGGCTTCCAGTACAGACTTGGGAATCACATGGGTAGAAACAAAGGCAAGAAAAGAGTAATAGGGAAGGGATAAGGCTATAGGATAGGTGTTTGGAGATACAATGTATTGTACACCTCCGCTTGCCTTTGCGAAGGGCAATAGGAAGGTCAAGGTCTAGGAAGGTAGCAGAAGGGTCAGGTGAAGGCTGAGTTGTTACCTCAAAATTGATGGGAGATGCTAGAGGCTCTGTTGAAGGAGTGGAAACAAACTTGCCCATGCCTAAATCTTTGTCTTTGGTACCACCTTTGGACAATGGGATGTGAGAGAAAACTAAGAGGATGATCTGGAGGAAGAGGAGTAGGAACATGAGAGGTAGACCCATTGGAAGGAGAAGCAACAGAGGAAGATGACTCAATAAAGGACTTAAAGGGAACTGGAAGAGGAACAATTGGGGACATAGCAAATGGCTCCTCAGAATGCTCCCCCTCAAGAGAAACACCAAAGAAAGGAGTAGACTTAGCAAATGTGACATCCTTAGAGACAAAATAGGTGTCATAAACCGGATCAAAACAACAATATCTCTGATGATTATGAACATGTACATAGCATGTGCACCCAAAAACTTGGAGAGGAAGAGAAAAGAGATCCTCATCCGGAAAGAGAAGGCTAAATGGGGTTTTAAAACCCATAACCCAAGAAGGCATATGATTAATCAAACATGTGGCAGTAAGAACAACATTCCCCCAAAATTTGATAAGAACTACATGACAGTTCTTCCTTTCCGCCACTCCATTCTGTTGTGGAGTGTAGGAAAAATAACTCTGATGAATAACCCCAAAGGTCTCAAAGTATGATGAAAGGTTCTTCTCCAAATATTCCTTAGCATTATCAGAGTGGAATATTTTGATCCAAGTACTAAACTGAGTAAGAATAAGTTCATGAAGCTTTTGCACAATGGTTGGAACTTCATCCCAGGATTTCATGAGATAAATCCAAGTATAATGAGAATAATCATCAATAAAGAGGATAAAATACTTGTGACCCCCCATAGTAGGCAAATGATATGGCCCCCACACATCAGAGTGCACAATATGAAAAGGAGAAATAGATCTTTTATTGCTTACTGAATAAGAATGTCTACAATGTTTGCAAGTTCACATAACTCACAATGAAGACTCGATAAAGACATTCCCTTAAACATATCGGGAAACAAATGACTCAAAGCAGAAAAAGGTAAATGATCAAACCGTAAATGACATAACATGACTCTATCAAAAGACTATGACAAAACAAACTCCAAGGCTACTCCATTAGGTGGTCCAAGACTCCTATCAGTCCAGCAAGTACATTTCATTCGCCTCATGGCCACTCCTAATCGTCCTCTGAGATGTTAAGTCCTGAAAAACACAATGGGTAGAAAAAAGGTTATGCTACAGTTCATGGATTTAGTCAAGCTACTAACAGATAAAAGGTTGGTTTTAAGTTTGGGGACATGAAAAACAAAGGATAAGACAAGGGTGTCAGAGGCCTTGATATCCCCTTTGCCAGAGATGGAAGCAAGAGACCCATCAGCAAGGGATATCTTCTCTCTACCAGAGAGGAGTTGATATTAGCAAAAGAGGTTAGATAAACTGGTCATATGGTCTCATGCACCAGAATCAATAATCCAAGGGATTTTATGGTTACCTGAAACAGTAGCATGATTTGTAGAAGCATGTGTACCTGAGTGAGCAAATGCAGATGATGAGGTGTTGTCAGAAGGGTTGAATGCTGAGATAGTGGTTTCCAAGTGATTCAGTAACCTCCCATACTTTTCAAATTCTGCTTTACTGCTACCAGTTGCTCTAGAACTTATTTTTCTTCACTTTCCCTATTCCCTCCTTCAGGCACTATGGCAACATTAGCATTCTTAGGCTTTCCAGTCTTGACCATTCTTCTTAAAATTACTGTTATTGATGTTATTCTGAAACCTGTCCGAGAGAAGATTTGGATGAATTTTCCAACAAGTGTCCTTAGTATGTCGTGGTTTCTTGCAGTATTCACATATCACTTCTTTCTTCTCAGTCAAACCCTTTGGCTTTATTCCATCATGTGCAAAGTGTTCTATAGTTGGACCCTGTAACTGTACCTACCGCCTACTCTCCTCACTACTTACCATAGCATATGCCTGAGCAAGAGTGACCTCATCTTTGACCAGAATATCCTACCTAGTAATGTCGAACTCCAGGTTGAGTCCTATAAAAAACTCAAACACCATGTTTCGTTCCACAAATTTTCTAAATGTCTCTGCATTCTTGGTGCTCTCCCATACCATTGTTTCCATAACATCAATCTCCTACCATAGTGACTTCAACATTGAGTAGTAGATAGCTACACTCTTCTCCGCTTGTTTCAGATTTTTCACATCATTCCTCAACTTGTAGGCCCTTGCAACATTCAATTTTTTTTATCAATAATTGTGGATTGAATTAATATTAAAAATATGAGAAAATTAAAGGGCAAGGGGGCTAAACAATCTTAGCTCCCAAGAACAACCATTAAACATCAAAAGAACAAAAATTACAAGACAACCCAAAAAATAGAATGTCTGTTCACCCCTTGTCTAGCTAGACCATCTGCCATTCACACTTCTTTTTACCCATTTGTATTGGATTTCCATGTACTTAGTCAACCACTTGAATTTCCTCTTTTCATTACTGTAATTCCAAAGTCTAAGACTATCCTCTTTCAGCCAGCTTACCACCACTTCAGAATCTCCTTCTATGATCAGCTTGTTAATATGCATATCCTTGATTCTTTGTACCCCTTCAAGAGCTGCAAGAATCTCAGCTCTCAAAGATCCAGAATACATAGCTAACAGATTCCCTTGTTCATTCTTACTACTCCTATTTCAAATGGCCCTGGATTGCCCAAGCTGCTGCCATCAAAGTTCAATTTAACAAAGCCATGGGGTGGGGGGATCCAACAAACATTTGAGGCCTTCCTCATTGGAACAAGTTCTGCTATCTCCTTCCACTTTCTTTGCAGCTCATCAACTGAGAATTCTGCAAACAGAGCCAAGGTTTTCAGCCAATGTATAACCCTAATGAGGATGACCTCTAGCATTGCTTCCAAACTTCTCTCCTTATTTGTAAATATTCGTGAATTTCTCTCCTCCCAAATAGTCCAACAAACTGCAGCCCTCATACACCTCCACATAAACTTGGCCCTTTTTGTTGGCCGAAATGGCATAAATGTGAATAGGCTTTGCAAATTCGAAGGGGGGGTCCACCTTGCAACATTCAATTTTTGAGAATGTTTTTCTGTAACACTATCCCAAATCTCCTTAGCAAAAGTCATCTAGAGATAATGTTGACTTATGTGAGGCTGCATAGAATTGACTAACCATCCAATCACAGTGTAGTTCTCATGCATCCACTTCTCATATGTAGGATCAATCTCTGTCGATTTCTCCTTACTGCCCGTGAGAAACCCCAGTTTACCTCTACAGCTCTACTACAGACAAAAATCTTTATAGATTGTGCCCAAGACAAACAATTTGTTCCATCCAATTTGATTGTAGTCACTCCTGTCAAAAGGGAATATACTGGACCAACCCCCAACACCGGGATTTGTTTCATCTCACTTCCAAATTGCTCCATTGACCAAACGAAAATAAAAAAAAACAAGGTTTTCAATCTTTAAAGACCTAACTAAGGTCAGCTCAACACCTAAAGGTCCCAAAACTAGGGTTTCACTGCACCTAGCTTCCGAGAAGAAAGAGAGAAGTAGCCACTCTTACCAGAGCTTCCCAAACCTCTTCCAACTGTAACCACACACTCAAGGAGATCAAAAGGAGCCCTCCAAGCCTTGAGTGCCACACCCAAACAGTCTCTTAAACCTGTAACTGGAAACTCTCTAATCGGCTAGGGTTTTGGGAAAAATATTAGCAGCCCCACTTTCTTGGCAATCTACAACCAGATTCTGACTCAACAAACCCTCAACCAACTAGGCAAAAAAGTTCTTTGAATAATCAACAACTTATCTCTCCATACACTCTTCTAATCGAAGGGTGTATGGGAAAAGAAAACAAAACCAAAAGAGGAAGACTGACTTTGATACTAAGATGTGATTCAATCCAATAAAAGAACAATAAAATATTTCAGATTATAAGAGAAAAGAAGAAGAAAATGGAGAAGGGAGAAAGAAGGAGGAGTTCGATAATCTCCTCTCACCCTTCACTAATTCTTTTATTAATCTTCATTAACTAGGTTAATTACAAGTCTGCCCTTAAGTGGGTGGCCAACTAAGCAAGAACTTATAAAAGAGGTTAACAAGCCCATAAAGACAGTCCCATTAACATACAAAATAAATAACATACTACTTGAACATAAAAATAGATGCTAGGGCCCATTCATCCCAATCTCTCTACACCCTCTTATCCACTTACACCATCTCTCTCCGAAGCCAAAACTCCTTAATACTTCCAACAAAAAGGACCAATCTACCATATCATAAGCTTTCACCAAGTCCAACTTGCAAATGAAGCCTTTCTTTCTTTCTCTTCTAAAGTCCTCTACACATTCATTTGCAATCAAAATTCGATTGGTGATTTGTCTACCTTGTACAAAAACACCCTGATTTGGAAAGATAATAGAGGGTAAAGCAACCTTAATCCTCAATGATAGCATCTTAGCAATGATTTTATAAAGAATTGAAAGAACATAGGTAGGCACTTGCAGTCCCCTTTATTTATATCTAAGAGAAACAATACAGATATGACCATTATACCCCTGGATGACCTCAAGTATAATAAATATAAAAAATTCAAATAAGATGAGACAAATAAACCCATAACCACAAAACTGAAAATAAACATAAACCTCTCAAACTCCCCCTCAAGCTGAACATGGATGTTAATTATGCCCATTTTGCCTACATTATAACCTAGCTTTGATCTAATAACTCTTTGTAAATACATTGGCCAACTACTGATCTAATGTAATAAGCAAAGCTTTCCTAAGATCATTTGTTCTTGAATAAATGATGATCTATATTTAATATGTTTTGTCCTATTATGCTAAATGGGATTATAAGTAACATTAATAGATTTTTTTATTAGAACAATATAGTAAAATTGATTTTCATATTCAATTCTGCAAGGAAAGAAGCCACTACATGTCTAAAAATCCATGAACCGTAGCTCTCTATCTCTACTTTGCTTCAATACTACAACAAGCCACCGCTATTTTCTTCTTACTTCACCAAGAAATAAAATTTAGAAGATTAAGGTTCATCCACCTATTTCAAATTTAAAAAAAAAAAAACCTTCCTTTCTTTTCCAAAACCCACCATATTATCTCTTTAGAGACTCCACCATATGCTTTTCCAGATCAATGAATACCATGTGAAAATCTCTATTTTTCTTTCAAAGTTTTTCTATCAATTTCTATTTTTCTTTCAAAGTTTTTCTATCAATTTCTATTTTTCTTTCAAAGTTTTTCTATCAATTTCTATTTTTCTTTCATCATTTCCTCTTCCCCTTTTTACTTCCTCTTTTCTCTCGGGTTTCTTTAAATAAAACTATTGCATAGAACCCATCTGACATGAACAGGGAAAATGAAGATGCAGCCCACCCAAAGATCCCCCATCAAATGAATGGTCTGAAATGTACAGATAAGCCCTGCATGCTTCTTTATTTAGAAAATGGATATACATAGATACAAATATACATATACATGTATATATATATATGTAGAGAGAGAGAGAGAGAGCATACATTCTTTGTGCTCTTTACCATCCTGAATGCAAGTACAGCATCTATATGCCAAGAAAAAACAACCAACCAATGAGAATAAATTTAAAATCTTATACCAAAAACATTACATGCATGCTCTAACTGCCACTACAAAGGGAAAAACAATATCTAATACCTAATGGTGGAAGAACTTTCTTTCAGTTGTGACTCTATTTCACTCAAATACAATTTGAACAAGGGTGACCTGCAAACCCATATATCACCACCTTCAACTATGAAATAAAGCCAACTGAATGTAATGTTTAAATTAACACATAGAGAGAAATAAACCATAATAAACTACAAAGAAAAAACAGAAACTACAAAAATCATTGTATAAATTAGAAAATTAGAAAGAAATAATTGACAAGTAACAAAATAAATGGGTACATACAAATTGAACAAACATATGGACACATTAAAAGATTATAATTTATAAAGAACAAACATAAACTAAAATATTAAGTATATAGGAAAGTAAAATTTGGCAAATTACTATTAGTTGCAGAAACTAGGGTTTCAAGAGAGAGAAAGAAAGAAGAGAAGAGAAGAGAAGAAGAAGAGAAAGAAGAGAGCAAGCGTCGAGAGGTGTGTGTTATTCACTGTTCACACCCTCAAAAATTTATAATTTAAAAAAAATAATAATTACAAGAAGGCCCCTATCTGGGTGCCCAAATACTGAGAGAGTATAAGAAAGGAGAAAAAGACCAAAAACACCCATGTCTAACCATTCTCAACACTCCCCCTCAAGCTAAGCATATATGTCAATCATGCCCAGCTTGGCAAGGTTCTTAGCAAATTTTGGATGGTGAACACCTTTAGTGAGGCAATCAGCTAGTTGGTTTTCTGACCTTACAAAAGGAAGGCAAATCTCTCCGCTAGCAATTCTTTCTCTAATAAAGTGTCTATCCACCTCAATATGCTTTGTACGATCATGTTGGACAGGATTGTGAGCAATATTTATGGCTGTTTGATTGTCACAATATAGTCTCATTGGAACATCTGCTTGGATGCCCATCTCAATCAATAAGGTCTTCAACCAGAGTAGTTCAAACACACCATGAGCCATTGCCCTGTACTCTGCCTCAACACTAGAACGAGCAACCACAGATTGTTTCTTACTTCTCTAGGAAACCACATTGCCTCCAACTGAGGCACAATAACAAGATGTAGATCTTCTATCATCGATGGACCCTGCCCAATCAGCATCTATGTGAGCCTCAATCTTTAGATGGCCATGGTTGGAATACAACATCCCTTTACCAGGGCATCCTTTCAGGTAGGCTAAAATTCTATTAACTGCCTGAATATGAGATGTCCTGGTTCATGCATATATTGGCTAGCCACTCCAACAGCATACGAAATGGCAGGTCTAGTCAAACAAAGATACAAAAGGCGTCCTACCAATCTCTGATATACCCCCTATCTGGAAGAACTTCTCCTTTAATAGAGTTCAACTTGCAACTTCAATGCCAAGAAAGTATTAGAGATCACCAAGGTCCTTAATCTCAAATTCAGAAGTAAGGAATAACTTTAATTGAGAGATACCTGTGATATCATCACCTATCACAACAATGTCATCAACATTGTTACTCTACCATCAACTCTTTTAATAAATAAGGTGTGGTCAGCCCGAGATTGAGAAAAACCAACCTTTAAGATGGCATTCCTGAACCTGTCAAACCATGCTCTTGGAGATTGTTTTATCCCATACAAGACTTCTTCAAGCGGCACACTTTTCCATCACTGTTAGGAAAACTTACCCCAGGTGGTAAGTCCATATACACTTCCTCTTGTAAGTCCCCATTAAGGAAGGTGTTCTTTACATCCATTTAATATAAAGGCCACGAGTAATGAGCGGCAAGAGACATGATCACACAAATAGAGTTCATTTTAGCAACTAGAGCAAAGGTTTCCAAATAATCAATGCCATAAGTCTGAGTGTATCCTTTGGCTACAAGCCGAGCTTTGTATCTTTCAATTGAGTCATCTGCCTTGTGCTTAACAGTATAAGCCCACTTACATCCAACAGGAATCTTATCTTTAGGGCAAGGAACAACCTCCCAAGTCCGGTTCTTTATTAGGGCCTCCATTTCTTGGTTCATAGCTTCCTTCCAATGGAGGCACTGCATTGCCTCTAAAACAATGCAAGGGATGGAAACAGAAGAGATAGCAAAAATATAGCACAATAGGAAGGTGAAAGAGCATCATAAGACACATAGTTAGTGATAGGATACTTGCTACATGTCCTCTTCCCTTTTCGAATGGTAATAGGAAGATCAAGGTCAGAATCAATAATAGGATTGTCAAGAGGTTCAAGATTACCTTAGTCTGGGGAATTAGATTGTGATGGGCATTCTGCTTCAAGAGCCACCCTCTTACTGTGTCTGATGAAAAACTACTGCTAGAACCGAGGTCGATACACAAGAGAAGGAGGAATAGAGGTAGGAACAGGAAGGCAGAAGGGAGTTCAATCTTCACTTGCATTCGACCCTAAAGAGAAGGATGGGGTGACTGAAAAAAGGAAGAAGATTCCAAAAAGGTAACATCCTTAGAGACATATCTCTTGCCAGAGAGAACTAAAGAATCTATAGCCTTTCTGGACTGGAGAGTAACCAAGGAATACACACTTAACTGATTTAGGATCAAACTTGTGCTAGGAAGGACTCATATCATGAACAAAACAAACACAGCCAATGACCTTAAGGGGTAGATTAAAAGGAGGTTCATCAGGGAAGAGTAGTTGATGGGGAGAATGAAGGTGAAAGAATGGTAGGATCCATCCAATGGACGCCATAAAGATTGCGGAATGGGTGGGCGAATTTCAAAAATTTCCTACCTTCTCCCAACTGGGAATCATATTCCCTAAATTTAGAATACAATATTCAAGGATCCTACTTGAACCATAATCAAACCAGATCTGTACCAAAAATAAATGGGAGGAATATACCTGATC